AGTGGGGACATTACTACCAACCTTACAGAAATAAAAAGGATTGTAAGAGAATACTCATGGGATGCAGAGAAGGCATTTGACAAAATCTAACACCCTTTCATGTTAAAAACTCTCAGAATACTAGGAATAGAAGGGAGCTTACTCAACATGGTAAAGGGCAATTATGAAAAACCCACAGCTCCCATCATTCTCAATGGTGAAAGACTGCAAGCTTCTCCCTTAAGACAGGGACAAGACGAGCATGCCTGCTGCTGTGGGCTGAATGTGTTCTCCCAAAGTTTATATGTTGAAGCCCTACCCACCAATGTTATGGTATTTGGAGGTGGGGCCTTCAGGAGGTGGGTAGGTTTGGATGAGCTCATAAGGGTAGAGTCCTCATCATGGGATTAGTGTCCGTGTAAGAAGAGACCAGAGAGCTACCTGCAAATCAGGGAGAAGGTTATCATAACCCCACCATGCTGGTACCCTGATTGCAGACTTCCAGCCTCCAGAACTGTGAGAAATAAATGTCAGTTAAGCCATCCACTCTATGGTATTCTGTTATAGCAGCCCCAGTTGACTAAGACACCCACTTTCACTGCTGTTCAACATTATACTGGAAGTTCTGGCCTGTGCAATTAGACAAGAGATGGAAATAAAAGGATCCAAATTGGTAAGGAAGAAGTAAAACTCTAACCACAAATGACATGATCCTATATATATATAGAAAATCCGAAAGAATGCACAAGAAAGCTACTATAGTTAATAAACAAATTCAGCAAATTTCCAAGATACAGATCAACATAAAAAAATCAGTTGTTTCCGTATACCTGTAATGAACAATCTGAAAGGAAATTAAGAAAGTAGTTCTATTTATGATAGCATCTAAAAGAATAAAATATCCAGGAATAAATTTAACTCAGGAAGTTAAAGACTTATACTCTGAGAACTACAAAACATTGCTAAATTAAAGATCAAAATAAATGGAAAGATAACCCATGTTCATGGATAGGAAACCTAAATATTAAGATGTTGATATTACCAAAAGTGATCTGCAGATTCAGTGCAGTCCCTACCCAGATTCCAATAGCCTTTTATGCAGAAATAGAAATCTAAATCCTAAAATTCATATGAAATTGGAAGGGAACCCAAATAGCCAAAACTATCTTGAAAAAGAATAAAGTTGGAGGACTCACACTTCTTGATTTCAAAACTTATTACAAAGTTGCAGTAATCAAAACAATGTGGTACTGGCATAAAGCTAGAAATATAGACCAATGGAATAGAATTGAGAGTCCAGAAATAAGCCCATACATCTGTGGCCGTTTGAGCTTTGACAGAGGTGCCAAGTCCATTCAATGGGGGAGAGACTAGCCTTTTCAACAGATGGTGCTGGGACAACTGGATTTTCACATAGAAAAGAATGAAGTTGGACCCCTGTCTCACACTGTGTACAAAAATTAACTCAAAATGGGTCAACTTATTCTTTCCCAAGCACAAGGCTTTTTCAATATCAAAAAAGATAATTAAGGTGAAAAATCTTTTTAAAGGAATAGAGTTCTTTGGGAACAATACATTTTTCTGTGTAGTTTATTCACTCTACAAATATTTATTAAGCAAAAGTGATGTGACAGTATTCTGCTGTATGCTGTAGACACTGGAGATATAATGGTAAACAAACCCAAACTTGTTCCCAGCTTTAGTGGAATTTACAGTCTTGAGGGGGAGATAGACTTTGATAAAATAATTCCACTAATGAATATAAAATTCCAATTGTGATAATGTGGTGTACAAGAAAGTATATATGCTATGATGGCTTGTAATAGAGGAGGAGACTTGGTCTCAGGGAAGACTTCCCTGAAGAGGGGGAATTGAGCTGAGGGACAAGGGATGAGTAGGTATTAACTGGGTTAAGACGGGAGGGGAGAGCTTCTCCTAGCTCCTAAGACGTCCAGGTTTTTGGTCGTCTTTCCACACACAGTAGTGGGCTTAACAATGGATTTCGGTTTATCTTTTGTTTCTGACCCTTTGGCTACAATGCTAGTGGCTGTTTTTTGTCTGTGTGTTCCATCTGTCTCCCAGAATCTCAAAAGGGCTGTGTGCATGGAGAGTATTTAATAAATGGGCGTTCATTGATGCAAAGTATTTGAGAGTCTGCTAGCAGTTAAATTTATGTTTCAAGGTAATAAAATCCTGAGGCAGTTAAGAGTTTTCTCTGTTGTTTTTTTTTAATTTGTCTTAATTTTTAACCTCTTATGATTAAATAATGACATTATTAGGCAGCTACTTTTAGATAAAGTATGATAAATAATGGCTTCTTCATAAATTATGCTCTTAGAACCTGTTTATATTTTGATTTAAAATAAAACTTTTGTTCCACATAATTTAACACCTCATTTTGAATTGAAGTGATATGAATTGGCTTATGTAGTTTCTGCCAAGGAATTAATATGGACCTTCTATAAAACACTGTCATTTGTAATGAAAATGCTTTTAACTTAGGTTGCTGTTGGCACTGATAGGTACTGCTAGAATGGTAGCCGAGAAGGAAGTTGCATTTAAACTTGGTGGGAGCTCGTTGATGCCTGAGGTTTTATAATGCTTTCTGTGGGCCATTTAATGCTGGCAACTTTAATTCACATGATTCATAATAGTGGAAATTTAAATTCACTCTTAATTGAAAAGTGAAGTTACTTAAATTCTTTAAATACTAACCTTTGGGAAAATATCTGAAAAATAAAGGCACATATGATTTTGGTGGCCCACTGCCAAAAGATTATCATTTACATAAATATCTCTTTCAGTAGAAGAGTTTAATGTATTGAGCTCAAAAGGTTAAAATAGAGACTTCAATCTGGAAACCAGCAGTAGACTGTTGGCTTGTGAACAGCGGTATTGTTCCTCATATTGAGAACACTGTTCACATTCAAGCTTAAGCAGAGCTGGCATTAAAATTCAGTTAATTTGTTTCATGTGACTTGTCAGCTGTGTGTTTTTATCTAAATCTTTCTAGCTTCTCTTAGAATTTTATGTTAAGCTCCTGAAATAGATGAACTACCTTTTTAACTGTTTAAGCTCTATTTTGGCCACTTGTGCAAATGATTTTGTGCAGCCATTCTCCAAGTTTTCCATTTCATTTTAGATATATTTAGTAATCAGTTTGAATACCATTTTAGTTTGTTAAGAAGTAATCCGATTTGGGAGGGCTTTTCTATTTCATACAAGTGTGTGTGAGTCCATAAAAGGGACTTCCCGAAATTCATTAAGACAAAATTGCTGTCCTTCTTTTCTCACCAGCACCCTACCCTGTTCTTTTCTTGTTTGTTAATTTTGCTCTCTGGATTTTCCCTTAGATGGCTTTTACTATTTGGCTATTAGCCAAGTATTTGGTCTGACCAGTAAAGTGCTAGTCCCAAAGAAATAATATAGCTGTAACTAATATTACAGTAAGATCCCATTTCACTTTTTGAAGGGCATGAAAATCTTTCTGCTCTTCTGAAACTGTACCCACTATAATCTAACAGTTAGTATTCTTGACTAACTGGGAATTGAGTGTTTTGAAGATATCTCCGAATATACAGTGATTTTAAAGCAGCTTTGTGAGGTATAATCAACATACAATAAACTGTGCTATTTCAGTTGCACAATTCCACAAGTTTTGATATACACATGTACCCACAAATTCATCACCACCATGAGAAGAGTGGACATATCTGTCACTTCTAGAAGTTTCCTCCTATTCCTCGGGAATCCCTCCCTGTTTCCTTTCTCTCCCACATCCCTGACTTCACAGGGAACCCTTTATCTGCTTTCTGTCACTATAGATTGGTTTACATTTTCTAGTTTTATAAAAATGAAAACATCCAACTATGTACTCTTTATTGGCTGTATTCTTTCACTCCACATAATTTATTGTGAGATTTATCCATGTTATTGCATGTATAAATAAGTATATTCCTGTTTATTACTAAGTAGTATTCCATTATATAGATATAGCACAAGTTATTTATCTCTTCAACTTTTAGTAGACATTTGGGTTATTTCCAGTTTTCTCATCTACCTCCTTGTCTGTTAAGCTCTCTTTTGCATTTTCCATCCTTTTATCTCTCTATGATGCATTTTTACTTACTGCGTCATATCAGCACATTGTCTGGCATATAGTAGGTTGAACCATATAGAATTGTCAATATTTGACCATTTTGACCTATAAAAATGGCAGTTTCTTATAGTTCAACATAGAAGTGCTTACTAAGTATTTTTTAATGAATGAGTGTTACTTGTTTTTACATTTAAGGCTTAATTTTTACGTATATAAACAACTATGTAAAAAACTCTGTATAATATAAAAGGCTAAGTGACACACTATATTAGTAGCTGGTTGGTAAAATTATGTTTTTTTCCCTCTATTCTGTATTTCTTTGTCTTATATATATGGTTATACAGTAAGCATATATTACTTTTACGATAGAAAAGAAAACCTTTTTTGAAAAGGAAAAACCTGTGCTTTTTTTAGTTTGTGTAATTTATTTAAAAATTATTCTTTCTTTCTTCTTTTTGCAAAGGCAAGAACCATGGTATTCTATAATAAACATGGATTTTAGAGCCAGTCAGATTCTCTTTCCTAGTTGTGTGACTTTAGGCAGGCTGTTTAATTTGTCTGAGGCCCACTGTCCTCATGTGTAAAATGATAACTTATTTAACCATCATTGCGAGGTAATCATCAATGTGTGAAGTGCCTGGTATGTATATGTGTCAGTTTCCTCGCTCTGGTTTCCCAGCCTAAGGTCTTACCTTTGGGTAAAGGCAATATAATTCTGATCCCACACCTGTTACCTTAGTAATTTTGTAACTATACCATTTATTTTGTTCCTTTTTCTTTCCTTAAGAAAAATTCTTTTTAAATGAGAGCAAGATGTGTAATGTGTTCTTTATTTTTTAAATAACAAATTTTAAGTTACATGCAGAATTTGCCTTTCTAATAGTGACCTTAATGACCTTTTTCATTTGTTTCTTGTTTGAAGAATATCAAAGAATATTCCAACAACTAAAGATGTTGAGCCACTGCTTGAAATAGATGGAGATATAAGAAATTTTGAAGTGTTTTTGTCTTCAAGGACCCCAGTTCTTGTGGCTCGAGATGTGAAAACCTTTTTGCCGTGCACTGTAAACCTAGACCCCAAACTGCGGGAAATCATTGCAGGTGGGTATTAGTAGTAAATGGAATTTTCTTCTCTAAAGTCCTCAGAAATTTTCCTGTTTCTCTCTTAGCTATGTGAGTTTCTTCTGCTCCATGAGAAATCAAGAAATAATGAACCAGCCACTACACAGAAGAATTAATGAAACTGAGGATGAGGAGGCTTGACACCCTTTTGGGAATGTTAAGAAAATGTTATTTGTTAAATTCACTTTATTCTGTTTCCCAACCCACATACCTGAATCCTTACTTTGGCATCAGATTCCATTTAATGTATAGTCACCACTTTAAGATGTCAGTTCATTGTAATTTTTCTGTCACCAATCTTCTGTTCTTAACAGGACCAGAGTGGTGAGAAAATCAAAATATTGCTTTTTAAGTTTTAACTTAAATTTGTGGACTGTAACTTGGAGATAGTGACATGAAGGTTTTGGAGTAATTTAGGTTGTTCTTGAGTCACCACCATATACACATGCACGCACACAAAACCTTTATTGAAACACACTATCTTTTGTATATGATACTGGCACTGCTGACCCACCTTTGAGTTTTCCAGGATTTATGAAGAGAGAGCCTTACACTACTCCTACATTTTTTAAGATACCTGTTATAAAGCTGATATCACAGGTGTGTTTTGTGACTATGGCATTGTTTGTTGTTGTTCAGAGGCGGATGAGTCGTATCTTTATCTTTTGCAAACCCCAGGTCTTAGCTAATGTTGTCTTTATTAACTCTACACAATTGTGAGTTGTTAGTAGTCGGTAATACTTATGAATCATAAGAATTGTTAGAATACCACAAACAAACAAATACCTTAGAAAGTCAGAGAAAAATATATAGTTCTGGTAACTGAAGAGAAGAATCTAGATGTTGTGACTTTTCAAATGGTGAAAAACTACTTTTTATGCAAAGTAGTTGGGCTTTCCTTACTAGAATGTCTATGGAGAATTCAAGATTTCCTGTCTACTTCTGTGAGCTGGTTGGAATCCCTGGCAAGAGTGGTAAAGTCATGTTTCTATCTGGTCATTAGAGTAGGAAGTGGTAATTGGGCTAATTACTAATGCTGTATTTTCTTTTGCCTTCTGGGATGTCATTTAATCTTTTAGATGTTCGTGCTGCAAGAGACCAGATTAATATCGGAGGACTGGCGTACCCCCCGCTCCCCCCGCTGCCCTTGCATGACTCTCATCCTAGACCCCCGTCAGGCTACAGCCAGCCTCCGTCCGTCTGCTCTTCCTCCACATCCTTCAATGGACCATTTGGAGGTGGGGTTGTGTCACCACAGCCTCACAGCAGCTATTACAGTGGTATGACAGGACCCCAACATCCCTTCTATAACAGGGTAAGGAAGTGCTAGAATCTTTCATTTTAAGAATTCGTTCTAGGGAATTATCAGAAATTTTCTGCTTATGGAGTCTATTATTTTGAAATTGTACTTTAGTTTTTTAATATAGGAATAATGTTAAGTTTGAATTTATTGTATATGATATTTTAAAAATTAAAAGAATTTTGAATTTTAATGGGTTTTAGATCTCAGTTGAGTCGGAATATTAGAGATGCTTTTTGCTTTTATTTGTTATCTTGATAAGAAAGTGAAACTCCACAGGGTCAGCAGTGACTATCCTGTGCTTCAAAGGGAATTTCCGTATTTGTTTATAAACAAATGTTCCATTTGTTATATCTTGTATAATAATTTATATTGGCATTTAAAATAATGATAAATTTCTACAATAGTTCCGTAAACCTGTATTTAATATATTATAGCTTTTAAATGTGAAATAGTGATGGAAAATACTGCTTGTATGACTCAGATGTTATTGCTAAATGATAGCACCAGAACCAGTTTTCTAAAGTTTTATTTCAAGTTATCTTTAGTGATGTATAATTGTTCACTTAGTATAAATATGATAATTTTCTACTGGAAAAGATGAAAGCACAGTTAGTTAGTGGTATTCAGACCCTATCAAGTTTAGTAGGCCCAAGCTATCCTTACTTTAATGATCTTAAATACTAATATTTCCTATAGGAAAATGGAGCATGAACCCAAGTATTTTGCTTTCTGGGACTGTAGTCTAGGATCCATTATAATTACTTATTTTTGTTGTCTCTCTCATTAATCTAATTCTTGAAAATATAGGGGCTAGTATTCATAGAAGCCAACTGCATACCTAAATAAATTTCATATGAACTAGGAAGAAAGAGAAGTTTAGAATAAATGTGGCAAAGAAGGGATTCCAGAATTTAAATTAAATTTTCAGTTTTTGAAAAATGTTGGCCATATAAATAATCAGGTACACCATTCATAGAGGTCCTTTGAATGCTATCCATTCTTTTACTCAGACAAGGAGACAAAGGTAAAACCATAGCATTTTATAATGTATTCCATCCTTGTAAACTTTGTGTGGTAGGTTTTTATTTACTAGTCTTAAAATCTGCTATAGTGTTACGTAAAATGGCTCAATTGATCATTAGATGACAGTTGAAGTTTTGAGACCAAGAAGTTTGAAAAAAGAAATTTTTACCATACCATCTAGGCTGAGACCTTGTGTTCACTAATTTTATATGAATAACAATCATGTGATGCTTTAATAGCATTTTATTATTTTTAAAGCATTTAAAATTTTCTCATGCTTTTAGGTCTAGTTATTTTTTGCTGTAGTTATTTGAAGTTTTTAGTCTGAAAAGCACAATAATTTTCTTAAAATGGCAGGAGTGAAAAAGGTAGGGGAAGATGCTCACTGTAATGAAGCTTAGTGAATTTTAATCTTTATGTTTAGCCCATATAATCTGATATCTCCTTGTTTATATGAAACTGGTTACAAATAAATGCTACAGTTATAGATCTCATCTAAATGATGGATTCACCATTAAAAAGATATTCTTTCTTATTTAGGAAATAGAGTAAACTCTAGGGTATAGGATATAAGGTAAATTCTAGGAACTTAGAGTAACAGTGTTCCTGGAATCCATGCTAGGATGTTCTCATATAATCGAGACCTTTTTTGGTCTCACTTAAGGCTAATCTTTTTTTTGTAAAGAACGGTATTCTATTAAGATGCTATTCTACTTTTTTAAAAGAGATTGTGAATTAATATTTGTAAACCACTTAGAACCAGACACATGGTAAGCCCATAAAAATGGTATATGTAAAGAGAAATTCTTGTGTCAAATTGTAAGGTGCAGAACTTTAGTTGCTTAAAAAAAAGCTTATATTAAATCAACAATATAAATATTTAAATAATCTGTCTTAAGTTTGGGTTTGATATCTTATAGAATATGAGTGAGCCTTTTTTTCTTTTGTTTTGTCATTTGCATTAGCAATTTGGAGTTGTATTTTATTGGCTAGTTTCATTTGGTAAATCTCATTACACTTTGATTTCTGTAATTGTTTACCCCTTCTTTTGTTACGTGTTTTTTCCATAGCCATTCTTTGCCCCATACCTTTACACGCCAAGGTATTACCCTGGCGGTTCCCAACATCTCATCTCACGTCCATCAGTAAAAACGAGTTTGCCCAGAGATCAGAGCAATGGCCTAGTAAGTATAAAAAAGGGTAACTAAAGTAGTAACCTAATAAGCAACATAGGCAGCATTCAAGTTTGATTATTTCCTTTCTGGAGTAAAAGAGCGCAACTTATTTTGTAAATAGTTTTAAGAAACATAAGCTGTTACTAACAAAAAATTTATTTTGTTTTCATTTCTGATAAATATCTATGGAAGGAAAATGACTAGTAGCCTCAGTGAATAAATGCTGAGTTGTTTGCAGCCAGAGTTTCTGGCTTATAATGCAGTGTTTGTTACCAAAACTTTTAAAACTAAACCTTTATATCTATACTAATTTCTAATATCTTTTTAAAGGATATATTTATATATGGTATCTGTATATATATGTTAGCCCTAGGGTATAAAAATTAGAGCATATATTAGAAGAACATTTTAATCTAATGGCAGAAATTAAATAGGAAAAAGAAATTATTAAAATATACTATTGAATCTAATCCAAACAAAATACATTTGTGCCTAGAATATTAGGTGTTCCTGGTGATAATTAAAAATTTAAAAAAAAGAAATTCCCTGTTAATATATTTTTATAAATTAGGAGACAAAAGTTATAGAGCTTAAACTGTTATTTTTGGGGGCCGACCCCGTGGCTGAGTGGTTAAGTTCTCGGGCTTAGCTTCAGTGGCCCAGGGTTTGGATCCTGGGTGCAGACATGGCACCACTCATTATGCCATGTTGAGGTGGCGTCCCACATGCCACAACTAGAGGGACCCACAACTAGAATATACAACTATGTACTGGGGGGATTTGGGGAGGAAAAAAAGCAGGAAAAAAAAAAGAAGATTGGCAACAGTTGTTAGCTCAGGTGCCAATCTTTAAAAAAAACCAAAAAACTGTTATTTAAATTTTTAAATGTTGTCACTAAATCATCCCATTTGCAACAAGGTGGATGAAACTTGAGGGTATTATGTTAAATGAGATAAGCCAGACAGAGAAAGACAAACGCTGTATGATTTCACTCATGTGGGAGATAAACAAACACATGGACAAAGAGAACAGATTGGTTGTTACCAGGGGGAAGGGAGTCGGGGGTGGGCATAAGGGGTGAAGGAGCACATTTATATGGTGACTGACAAACAATAATGTACAACTGGAATTTCACAATGTACAAACTATTATGACATCAATAAAAACAAAAATGTAGTCACTGAAGGGAGAAATCTAATCCCATCCAGGTTTTGGTGTTTTATATTATTATTTTTACATCGTGTTCATTCATCATCCTAGTTTGGCTCACCCCTCACCTTTACCCACACTCTTGTTTTGTGTTGTTAGGAGGTTATCAAGGAGGATGCTGCTGAGGGGCTTTCTTCACCCACAGACTCCTCGAGGGTAATGAGTAGTCTTGTGGTGTGGAACGCGCGCGCATCTCATTGCTTCTGCAGCAGTAACGACTGTCTGAATTGTGATGACCGCAGTTCACTAACTCTGCGTCTGTGACGTGATGCGCAGCTAGTGTAGAGTAGCTGAATACTAATAATCATAGTTCATGGATTAATTTAAAAGCTAATGTTTAACTTGACCCTTTGTTTCCTCCTGTTTTTCCCCTTTCTCAATGACGCGGGGTGGGGTTTTTTATTGTCCGGTAAGAAAGGGGCTTCCAGCAGCCATCAGGAACATTCTGTTGGTGGTATTTGTTCCTCAGTGTTGACCTCTATTTTCACCTTTGCCTGTTTTTCTTAAGCCTGCAGTTGGTGCTACAGACGTAGAATACTTTTGGAAATATCCCAGATTGCCCTTGAGATGACAAAAAGGCATTATGAGCTAGATGGTGTAAACTAGAAAGGATCTTTAGTGACTCATTCTTAATCTGAGTGGCCACAGTTTATGAAGCATTCGTGTAAATGCAGTACTGCCTTTCTCTATCTGTGTATTTATTAAAATAAAATTTCCAGATAAACACAGAGCTAGTTCAGCATGTAAAGGGCATTATTAAAACCTTTTTGTTTTTGGTCCAACACTTTAAGATGGGTTTCTTTAAAAAAATAGCTTATATAGGAAGTCACTTTGGGTATTTATTGCTCAAGACTTTGTATTTAATAAGAAGTATGTTTAATGTGATGAGCCTTAAAATCTTCATTTATCCAGTCACGGTGGAATTGAAGAACCCGGTTTGCATTTTAACTCCTATTGATTTATTTAAAGAATGTTATGCCCATGTAAACATGATCGATTTAATCTAAAGCTATGTTGAAATGTGGCATAGGAGTGAGAATTAATGTGCTGAAATTTTGCATCCTGAGAATATCCATAATTTTTTAACTTAAAACATGCATTTGGATAGGCAGGAGTTTTTTAACTTTAATTTTCTCTGAGTTAGTGTTAGTAACAGAGAGAAGAATCATTTTGGTGTTTTCATGGCGGAGTTGGTGATTCTTTTTAAGTCATTAACATTTTAGCTGAAGCGTTTGAGTGACTTCAATTATCCATGAAATGGTAGACACAACAAACCATAATAATTCTCTTTTGGTGTTAGGGGAATCTTTAATCCATGGCTCATTGCCCCTGTGTGCAAGAGTGACTTTTAGTTTAGCCAGAGAGCCTTTAATGCATAGATTCATGCATGCAATGCAATTCTCTGAGCTGAAATTCCTCAGCAAACTTTTGATGAAAATCAGATACTGTGAAGAATTTGATGGTCTTAATGACACAGACATGCTGAAGTAGTCGCTGTGCCCATGCTTAAGAGTGTGGACCAACCCTTGTAATTAAAACGTGGCTGTAGTTTCTTTCAGTGAAAGAGCATTAGGCAAATTTTGAAATGAGTTTTTGGGGAAGGGGAAATAGTGCAATCCTTGAGATGTGTTTAGAAGCCCAATAACAAAGAGTAAAGATGCTCTAAATATGTTAGTGCCTTTGTTTAGTAAAATAACCATACTATTTGCTATTCTTTTAATATTAAAAGATAGTTTTGTGATCTACTTAGTGAATAATAGATGCTTACTGAACTTTCTTTGCTTTTATGGAATTAATAATGACAATAGCACGTAAAATTTGTTTTGTAGAACACTAGTAAAAGTAGACACTTAGTTCAAAGCCAAACTAAAAGCAGTGGTGGAAATGTTGAGAAGTGTCTGTACATGGAACATTGTTTGGGATCTTTATAGCTGAACCAGCGTAGAAGTAGTTAATATAAAAATTACTTAGCCCTTCATGGCTTGTATGGCTTTCTAGTCCTGTAGTAGAAAACTCTCTGTATTTCTGGGATAATAGGACTACAGACTGAGTCTGTCTGTGCTCACTCAGCTGTCCCCTGTGTGCAACACTTGATGACAAGAGCTGCTTCTAGATAAGTCAGAAGCTACACAAACATTTTTGGAGAAATTGTCATTATAGATGCAGAATATAGAATAATAAGGTATAGATACACAGATACAGAATAGTAAGCTAAAAACAAAACAAAACAAAAAAACCCACCAAAAAAGCCAGATTATAAAGAGTTAACTAATTATAGTCTTTTCAGTTATGGAGGGGGTCCCATATTTTTTTACCACAAGGAATTTCTGATTAACCTTTATAAAGCAGATCCTTATGAAAATAATTGAGTTTCTTCACATTAAGGGACATTGTAATAATTGTAACTTGTAAAGGCCAGCCAAGGACTTATCAGATAAATTATAGATATGTCCAGGTGTTTCACAAAGGTGATGATGTAGGCCTTTGTGCTAGCTTTTTTTCCTATAATTTTATAATAGACAATATATGCCAAATCTTATAAAACTGGGAAAAAATGTTAATGTTGGACTCAAGATATGCTGCGCAGAATATTAGAGCTAGAAAGGGCCAGTGTTTTTCAAACTTTCAGCAGAGAAGCCTTTTTTAGAAATGTAGTCTTAATCAGAACTCCAGTTTACGAAACCAGTGAAAAAGACCTCTGGCCCCACGTTGGACTTGCCTTCCCTCTCGAGGATCCTCAGAGAACCTGTGATGCAGTGCCTGTGATGCAGTCCTGCTCCACAGCATGGATTTGAGGCTCAGAGAGTCTGCGAGACTTACCCGAGGTTCACAGGTGGGGAGTGCCAGACGTGGAGCTAGAATCTGCGAGGCCTGTATCACGCCCATTCTTCAGTATCATGCTGCTGCTTTGCTGCTGTGCATGCCTTAGTCAGGTATCTGGGCTTTCAAGTTAAATAGACCCTGGTAATTAGCTGTTTGCCTTGGACAAATTACTTAACCTCTCTGATACTCAACTCCCTTATGTGGAAAAACAGACCTACCGCATCCATCCGATTTAAGGATTACTTAGTCTTAGCAAACTTTAACTATTTAATTATTTAATAATAATTATTATTGTTACTACCCCAAAGGCCAAATTCTGTGGAGCTTTAGAGACTCAGAAACTAAAACTGTTTGGTGTTAAATAACCCTTGTCTCAGTGATGGGAGTAGTGCACGAATACCCAGTCTGTTTAGATTACCTCAGCCTTTTGTCTGTTGATGCTTCTCTGACCCAAGAGGTGTCAGTTGGTTTGTTTTCTTGGAATTTAAAAGGATCTCTCAGTTCTTTGGATGCTGCAAATACTTTGAATTTTTAAAGCTCTCCAGGGGGCTTTTCCTCAGTGGCTTTGCCCTCTTCCAGTCCACTTCCCACTGGGAAGCAGTGGCTTCAGACCCTTCTGTGACAGTGAAGGGAAGCACCCTTTGTGGAGGGCCTGTCTTGAGCCAGGTGTCTTCAGTGGCATGTTGCTATGGTATTTCAAAGAGTTACTCTGAGGAGTCCTGTAGTCTGTTTTTATTGAAAGTATGGTGCTCACAGTGGTAACTGTGTTTCATTGAAAAGCATTTTTTCAAAGGAAGGAGTGATACAGTATTTCTTTACACTTTTATCCTTCCTTGAATTATTTATTTAGCGTCTAGTACTACAGATGCCTGTGTGATCATACACTGGGTCAACAAATCTATTGAATACCTAGCAGGCACTATTCTAGTGGGATGCAGCAGTGAACAAAACTGATGGAAATCCTGCCCTCATTGAGCTTATGGTCTTGAAGGCTGCCGGGGGAAGTGGCAGCACTAAGGCAAACCCTCCTGACCTTCTCTGCCATAGCGTTTACTCCATACCTTCAGACACCCTCATTTAGGTCACTTTTATACCTCGTTGAAAAGGTGTGAAAATACGTAATTAGCACAAAGTTTAATTGCAAGGAAGTTCAGAATTGCAAAGGCAGTGTTAATAACAGTATCCTGAGTTCCAGTGTCCTGTTACTTTTACTTTTAGAGATTGATGAAAACTGCTGAATTAATAAAGGTATTAAAAAAGAAGGTCTTGGTTTTCATTAAACTGCATCCAGTCAGTGGAGTGACCAAGCAAAAAGCAAAAAAAAGATGGGGCTCAACTGTAGATAATTTTTATTTCCACCACTGGTTTAGAACTTATAACCTGTGTTCTAACAGATGTGTGTCCAAATCAAGCTGTGTCCTACTGTTGAGGAGCAGACTGGACGAGGAAGTCAGAGACGCTGTGGGTGAAGCGGGCGCGGGGTGGGCTCCGCGTAGAGTGTGGGTGGGGACAGGTCCCCCCGTCACCTCTCAGCGCTTCTCTCAGGAGGGTCACGCACACTTTTGAAAGTATTTTAGAAGTACATTTTTGTTATTCTGTTTCAATGTGGAAAAATATTAGCTTATTTTTACTTTAATAATTTAGTGAAAAATTGTGTTCACTTCCAGTTTGAAAGTCATTGTGCCGGACTTCAAGTCAAGAAAACTTTTTCCCTAAACAATTAATAAACTACAAGTAGCTTGATGTATTTTTACAGAAATATATTACGCAGTGATGATATCATTGAAATCCTAGAGTACAGGTAAAAGTTAAAAAGTAACAAAATCATATTCATTGCAGTTCTTTAGTATTTGTGTTTTTTAGAAGATTGCCCTTGAAATGGGATATTAAGCCTCATCTGTCAACTTTGGCCTAATTGTTATTTCTCATGTAGTTTGAAGAGTAAGTTATGTTTTTCCAACTAGGTTAACAATAGCTTTATTTTGTGATTTGGCTATCTTGTAGTAAATTGTAATTTCATTAGTACTCCCTTTTTGATATTTTTTCAAGTCTCACAGATAGATATAGTAACTGTCTAAAAAGCCTGCTAATGATGAAATTGGTATGTAAACTAGAAAACAGGGTTCCCATGAAGTACTCCAGATAGTGAATGTTAAAAGAAAAACATCTAGGGGCTGGCCCTGTGGCCTAGTGGTTAAGTTTGGCGTGCTCCACTTCCATGGCCTGGTCAGTTCCCAGGTGTGGACCTACACCACTCATTGGTTGCCATGCTGTGGTGGTGACCCACATACAAAATAGAGGAAGATTGGCATAGATGTTAGTTCAGGGCAAATCTTCCTCAGCAAAAAAAAAAAAAAAAAAAGGAAGGAAAGGAAAACCTCTGGCATTAGGCTAGCAAAGCCCTGCCCTTTATTGTACTAGAACAGTGTTGTAAATCAACTTTGAATCAATATTGTCAGTCATCTCTGGATTATTTTAACTATTTTAAGAATATTTACCACCAACCTAATAGATTCAGAAAAATAGTTAATAGTAGTATGTCTGCTTTGAATTAGAGTTTTTAAAAAGCTATGTCACTGAAATGTTAACCATAGTATGCAGATAATTTTCACCATTACCTGTGTAATTTCTTGAGCTGTGTGGCTCTTAAGGCCTTTCTTTTCCAGTGTATTTTAGTGCATCCATTTAATGTGCCGCATGCCCAGTGAAACAAACCCCGAATTTGAAAAGTATGTTTCTGAACCTTAACTGTATGTGGCCAGATAAATTTCATTTTATGAAGTGATCCTGTGAATTCCAAGTATTTAAACCTTATTATTAAATTGGTCTGCAATTAATAGTTGCAATTTTCTAATCAGAATATTTAAAAATTAATTTTAAACTTGTGTATAGTAGGAAGTTTGACTTTTCATAGCAAATTTGATTTGCCTGATATTTTTGTTGAATCTATGGCCCATGATTTATTCTTTTAATCAAAAGAATATACATTTTGAGAATACAATTTAAAATTGCCAAGCACACGTTAATGAAATTAAACTGCTGTGTGCGTGTGTGCAAGCGTTCCTTGCTTTGTGTGGCTGTAGAGGTGGCTTGTTCACAGTTGTGGGAAGATAAGAAGAATGACGAAACTGCTGCTGTGTTTATTGTATGTGTATATTTGCCGTTTTGCTTTTAAGCTCGTGTCCTTCATTCTGTTTTATTCCTTCCTTAAAGCCGTGTGACTCTGGGTTTAACAAACAGAGACAGGTACAGAAACTTTTAGTGAAATCTTCCTCACTTTTCTTGTTAGACTGTTAGAAGCAATCATTGGCAACTTCATGCTGGGCTGTTTATAATTCTCTGCTCATTTCAGTGTCTTGGGTTTATTTTAATAGCTGCTTTCAGCCTTTGCATGGCACTCATTTCTGGCTAATCAATTCTAAGCTTATTTAATAAATTTACTAAAGATGATAATATTTCAGGGTGTAGTTTTAATCTACTTACAATATAAAATCATACAGTTCCATGGAGGTAATTTCAATCTGTTTTGTTAGCCTTATTTATACCTGGAGAAATTCTGATTTGTGTGCATTTTGAAGTTTATTTTTAACAGTTTAAAGAAACTAACATCTGCATTCAATTTTCTGAATTTTTTTTTTATAAATTGTGATGTATGCTGAAATGATCTGTTCTTGATTTGTAACAGGTAAATTTCAAGTAAGAATGCATGATAAACTTTAAAGTATTACCATTCTGTGTATTGCCAAAGTAATATTAATTTTCTATTAAGAATTTACATAATGAATTATTAGATATGCTTTTTCCTTATCACGTTTCTACTCCTTCTCCTTCTTTTTATGAGATTTGCATCCAAAAATCATTTTGGCTAGCGAGATTCATTTGGTTTCAAAGTAATTTTGTTATATATGATTATTTTAGAAAAGACCTGGCAGGTAATTACCATTTCTCATTTACTCAAAGAATCATATTGTAACACATTTTAATTTATTGATAATTTACCCCTTATCTTGATAAAGCCCAACTTACAAATAGTCAAAGTCGGACTACGGCCTTGATGGAGTTACAGAGATCTTATATCCATGTGCTTCTGTCTTTTCTTACAGCTTCTAAAAGTCGTTCAGAGATAATATATATTTTCTCCATAATCCCCAATGAAAGAGAAAATGTGTTTTAAAATAATTCATAAATAAAATAATTCATAAAGGTTTTAAAGGATCATGAAATTAAAATTAGGTGGAACTTTTTGTTTTAAAGGAAAAGAGTAGTATCTTTATTAACATGTCTCTATTGCTGAATTCTCAGATTCTCCGTGGAAATAAGATGCTCTGGCATTTTACATTTTCCCCCTAAGCTGACAGAGTTAGTCTGTTCTTTATCTATTATACTTGTCCTTTTTAGCACAATCAGAAAGAGTTCTTTTATGATTTAAAAAAAAGCAACTTTTTGGTTTAAAATAATTTTAGAGTTAAATAAAAGGTACAAAAGTAGTGTTCCTTAATGTTAACATCTTTCATAACTGTAGTATATTTTTGAAGAGGAGAAATTAAAATTGGTACACTACTATTACCTACAGACTTATTTGAATTTCACCTGCTTTTCCACTAACGTCATTTTTCTGGTCCAGGATCCACTCCAATGTGTTTTATTGGTTATTTCTCCTTAGAGTTCTCTAATCTATGACAATTCCTCAGTCTTTTTCTTGTCTTTCATGGCCTTAATTAACACTTTTGAAGAATGCTGGTCAGGTACTTTATAGACTGTCCTTCTTTGGGTTTGTCTGCTGTTTCCTTGTGATTAGAAGGAGGTTATACATCTTTGGCAAGAGAACCACAGGAACGATACTCCGCCCTTCCCAGAGCATCACATTAGAGGGTCCATGATGATCCTGCCTTACCACTGGTGTTGCTACCCTCCATCACTTGGTTAAGGTGGCGTCTGCCAGGTTTGAACACTGTAAAGATTTACTTTTCCCTTTATAATGAATAAATATCTTGAGGGAGATATTTTGAAACTCTGCAAATCTCCTGTTTCTGCTTATACTTTTGCCCATTAATTTTAGTATCCGTTGATGCATCTTGTATGCAACCACTATTATTGTGGTGTTTTCCTGATGGTAATTTTCTGTTTCCTTCTTCTACATTTATTAATTGGAATTCTATGAGGAAAAGCTGACTCTTCTTCCTCATTCATTTACTTATTCAATTATTTATTTACATCAGTATGGACTCATGTGTATTTATTTTATTATATGAATTATAATCCAGTATGATCATTATTTATTTTGGTGATCAAACTGTTTGTGGTTTTTGAACCGAGAAAATGTAAGCAAGTATAAATGTATCTGGAGAGAAGAGACAGGTTGAGGAATAAAAAAGTTTGAAAGATAGTATTAAAGATCATTTAAAAGATAAATATTATTCAGCAATAAAAGAGACTGAAGTACTGATACATGCTATAGCATGAGGGAGCCTTGGAAACATTAGGCTAAGTGAAAAAGCTAGTCGCAGAAGGCCACATGTTGTGTGGTTCCATTTATAGGAAATGTCCAGGAGAGACAAATCTATAGAGACAGAAAGTAGATTAGTGGTTGCTAGGGGCTGGAGAAAGACTGCTAATGGGTTCAGGGATTTCTTTTTAGGACTATGAAAATGTCCTAAAATTGATTGTGGTGATGGTTTTACAACATTATAAATATACTAAAAATCATTGAATTGTACACTTTAAATGGGAGAATTGTATGGTATGTGAATTATATCTCAATAAAGCTGTTTAAAAAGAAGTAAAAGATGGAAGAAGTATTGTTATTAAAAATTCATAGAAAAATTTTAAATTTCCATAGTAGATAGCGGATAGTTAAACCTTTGAATATTGGCTGTACTCATCCAGGCAGAAAATAGAACTATGTATAGAGATATGATACCTAAATTATGGAAATAGTACTGTTTTGCTCTCAGTATTTTTGAAGCAATTGAACCTCAGACCATACAGTATATGGCATATTTTAAGTTTATACTTAATTAAAAACAAACTGTCAGTGAATGTGTTTGGTACAGTATATTCCAAGTCATTAATTTCCAAACTTTTTTGGGCCTATCTTATCCTTGTAAACTTGCTAAGACTCCCTCACTCTCATAAGATTACTCCCCCAACTGTCTTTTCAATATGCTCTCATTCCCTAGCTATATTTGTGCTTATATATAATATAGATGTATGCTGTGTATATACTATATGTGAGCATATTTATATATCAATTAATAATAGAGTATTATGCTTCCATGTTACAAATAATGTTTAACAACCGACTGACAGGCAGTTTTGGCTGTGTTATAGTCTGCTGTTGTCCTGATAGTGATAAAAGAGGCAGTAGAAAATATAAATTTGCACATCCTTGAGGGTAGGATAAATTTTTTTTTTTATCATTTTAAAGTTAGATTGAATGGTAACAGAACCCATCATTTGGAACATTATCTTTAACCTCTATACTATTTGGTTTGTCTTCTCTTTGTTGTGGTTATAGTTTCTGTAAACTCTTCCAAAACAGACAGTTGGAGCAAGGAAAATAGGAAGTTGTAAGACCTGATAAGTTAGCATTCTGGTCCAAATCTACCACTAACTAGCTATGTATCCTGTGACTTTGAAGTCAAAACTTAACCTTGCCAACCCCAATGTCCATGTCTGTAATTGAGGGGATTCATATATAATTGATCACAGGCAAATACTTAGTATGTCACCACATTCAGAAAATATTTTTCTTCTAAGTAAATACTAGATTTATTTATTATTTTGACTTTTCTTTTAAATGAGACCATATTTTAATGGATTGTATTTACTCTCACATGTTAAGAAGTAATATTGTTGTTTTATATATACATGATTATTGTATGGATTCTTAAGGGGAAGTTTTAGAACCCTTGGGTATAAAGTATGGTCAAGATGTGAAAACCTCAGCTGTGGTAGACTGTTGGTCTGTAGAAACATTGAAAGCTGTTTAGTATAGACACTTTAAAATTGTTTCTCAGAGTTAGCTTTTGTATTTTTATAATATAGGCATCAGTTATTTTACCCCCGTGTTCTTTCTCTTTTAAACCCCTGTCCTTCCTGTCACTAAGGGCTGCGTGCTTCTCTCTTGAGGTTAGGCTGTGAACGTTTGAAAGGTGGCCTAGGCTTGGCACATGGAGTGTGCTGTCTTCTTAGAAAAGTGATTTTGATCAGGCTGTACCTGCTCTAATAAAAACTCATTAAGATATAACAGTAGCTAATTCTGTTCCCTACTGGTATTTTCCCATACTATGCACATTTGTTGTTTTTACTTTAGTTTGAAAATTTGTTGCTAGTTAGAGTACTTCATAGTGTAACTTCATGAGTGTTTCTCTGTCATGTGACTGCTTATATCTGGCATTAAATGCTCTTCATGCTGCATTTTCCCCTGGCTTATCTAGGGATCAGGCCCAGCCTCAGGAACAGTATCACTGAATTCAATGAGTGTGGATGCAGTATGTGAGAAACTGAAACAAGTAGAAGGGCTGGACCAGAGTATGCTGCCTCAGTATTGTACAACAATCAAAAAGGTGATGTGCACATTTACCTGCTGCCTCAGGCAGGGATGAGGGGGTGGGAGACGGGCCTCTGTGGACAGTGAACACTTCGTATTTAGCTTCTCAAAGATGGCTTCTCTGTTGAAATGGAAAAGCTCTAAATGGAAAGAAACATGATTCTTACTATTTTGTATCCTAAAATTGCCCTATTATCCATTAGTTTATAAATGGATAAAAGAAAAAGAAAAGAGCTGTATTACAGTGTTATTTAAAAAATTACCTAATGTAAGTAAAAAGTGCCTGATGAGAAATACAAACCTCTAAGGGATTTCACATTTAGATAAACTACTCATATTTTCAGTATGCAACATAGAACATTCAAAGGGCTTTTCTTTCTTTCTTTCTTTTTCTGGTGAGGAAGATTGGCACTGAGCTAACATCTGTGCCAAGCTTCCTCTATTTTGTATATGAGACGCTGCCACAGTAGGGCTTGATGAGTGATGTGCAGGTTCGCACCTGGGATCCAAACCCATGAACCCAGGGCCACTGAAGTGGAGTGCACGAATTTAACAACTGTGCTGCCACCAGACCAGCCCTAAAAGCCTTTTCTTTTGTGCTACCTTTTCTTTGATTGTAATATTTATTTGTGACTTAATGTTTATCAAAGTAAACCACACTTGCTCATTTTCCACAGATTGTCACTTTCATGTCTTATAGGACTTATGATCATGTCCCATTTGATGAAACCTCATAGGTTTGGGTTTGCAAGGCTGACACCTTTGAGAAGTTCTTCTCTTCCCAGACTCTGTTGTAGAAATTCTAGTAGCTACCATGCAGTTGGACAGTGATGCCTGGGATTTTGAGGAAGCTCCCCATGTACCAGGCTGAGTTCCGGTCATAGTAGATATTCCTCCAGTTATACTTTTTCTTTTGGAGGACTGTAGTAACGTGGAGCATTAATAACAAGACTCTGATGTTTACATACTTTAAAGAATGGCATCTAAAAAGCTTTTAAAAAAATTATTAGCATATACAGATACCATTTTACTAATCTTAATGTGTGTTTAGCCAGAAAAGTTTCAGATAATGTCAGTTTCCTTACAGGTGTGGTTAGTGTTAATCTCTGTTTGCGGAAGGTCCAGCACAGCCTTTCCAAGGCACTGACCTGACTCTCATCTAGGCAGCGTGGTTAGACTCAGGGAAGGCTGAGGTTTCCAACTTGAATCCTTGGTGGCAGTTTGTTTCCATCAGGACAGCAGTTTTCTTCCCACTCAGCTCTTTATTCCCAGTGCCTGGCTTTTTGAAGCCCACCGTGGCACCTGGTTTCTTAAGTGTTGCAAACTTGCTTGCGTTTCTGCAGCAGGACCTCTGTCACAGGCTTGCTCTGTACACTCTTTTCTTGAGAGTTAACTTGGAAACTGAGCATTCTATCGATTTCAAATACAGGTATCCCGTAATTTCACCATAGTTAATAAAGTCAGGGTTTGTATTTTGTAAAATCAGTAAGCTACCTATTATTAATAAAGAAAATGCCATCGTTTCTTATTTAGGGGAAGCTAGAATTACAGAGACCCGATAGTGATAGTCACTTTTCGTGAATTTAGTAAACTGGGAAATTAGTGGGTGGACATTCTTTATGATAGAAGTTATCTACCGTAACTGATAACTGTGTCAGGGCTTACTCATTTAGAACTCCGTCCACGACTGACACACTTAGAAGGACAGACGTCTCTCACCCCTCCCAGCAGCTCGTGCTCATGTTCATGTTTTATAAGCTTAGAGGGGAAAAACTAACAGCTTCCTTATTGTGCATGACAGGGTCGGTAGTTTTGGAAACAGTTGGGAAGCTTAGCTCTTGGGTTGGTCCCTAAACCGTGATTTGTTGTACTTGAGTGCTGAGACACTTGGAAAAATATGGAGCGGTTTATGTTGTTCAAATTCAACTTGTTTATTATATTATTATGTGGGATGATAACCTTTTTTAGGTCAATATTTTCTAGTCTCTAATGACTTTCTTAATACTAAATATAAATGTGCTTTTTAATCACTGATAATTCAGAAAGCTCACATTTCGTTTGTCTTTATACTTGTATTTATTTTTATTCAGGCAAACATAAATGGCCGTGTATTAGCTCAGTGTAACATTGATGAGCTGAAGAAAGAGATGAATATGAATTTTGGAGACTGGCATCTTTTTAGGAGCACAGTAAGATATTTTATATATATAGAATTATTTACAATGTATAAAACAAGTGCTAATAAATACTGGTCTAAACTGCTATTTTTCTGTATTTTTAAATAACACGTAAAAACTGCATTTTATACTTACCTACAACCCTTGCATTTTCTGTTTGACAGCAGCACTTGGCAACCTTTGCCTTTGGGCATTTCACTGGGAAATTTGGGGAAGAGGCTACCCGCCAGTTCTCCATGCTGTCATTGACGGAGATTTTGCTTGACCCGCTTCTAGTCTGTCTCCTCTGGGCCTCTGGGCCTTGACCTTGGTGTCCGTCCTCAGCAGGCCTGCATTGCCCAGTTTTAGCAAGAATTCTAAGTCAGTTTAGAGAGAACCCCCACCCCAAAGTCTGGTCTCCCCGTGTGTCTGATCAAATCCCTCCTTCCTCACGAGCTCCAGGCGCCTTCTGACCCCCTGGCCCACCTCCAGCGAGAATCTCCTCACGTCAGTGCGGCTGGAGCCCCCCTACCCAGGAGGTTTCTTCTCAGCGATTCCACCCCCTGAGCCCCACCCTGATCCTTGCTATAAATGCTCATTGGGCTGGGCTGCTTTCGGAGTTGAGCTCAGTCCCATCCTGAGGTCTCTTTTTCCTACTGCAATAGTTCCTGTTTTAAATCTTCTTTTACCACATTAACTACCATCCAGCTCTGGTTTTCTTGGACACACTACAGTTGCATTTTGTTTTGTTCTCAAGTTAAATTTTAAACTAAAGTAATAACATAATGGTCAAATTAGAGTATAATGTATATATTATGATTATTGCCACTACTTCTTTTAGTATTAATTAAAATGAAAGATAAACAGATGTACAAATTCATTAGAAATTCACTTATAGGAAGTATGCTTTCTCATTTCCATTATAACAACTTTTTAATGTTTTATTTTTCAAATAATTTCTAAAGCTTCTAAAATGTGATTTGTCAGTGTGGATATTAATGATATTTTTTCCTCTGTTAAGGTACTAGAAATGAGAAATGCAGAAAACCAAGTGGTCCCTGAAGACCCACGTTTACTTAGTGAAAGCACCAGTGGCCCGGTCCCTCACGGGGAAGCTGCTCGCCGTTCTTCCCACAACGAATTGCCTCATACCGAGCTTTCCAGTCAAGCTCCCTACACACTGAACTTCAGCTTCGAGGAACTGAATACACTTGGCCTGGATGAAGGTGCCCCACGTCACAGTAATCTAAGTTGGCAGGTATTTATTAAATGTCATTTTTCATATTACTGAAGATTAGGGCAATATTTAACTCACCGAGATTACGTTAGTGAATTTATGTCGTCATTCAGAAAATAATGAGTAACTAAGTGAAGAGGACAGAGGACTCCCTCTCCTCAAGGGGCCGTATTCCTCTGGAGAGGACAGTTGGTAAAACAAAGGAAAAGTACGATTGTTTCAGAATTGATAAGAGCTGCGGAAACAATCAAATAGGGTAGTGGCGTGAGAGTAATAGGAGCTGGGCTGCTCTAGTCAGTGAAGTCCAGTCCGTCACTGCTGTTTTCTTGTTAAATTCATTAGTCATGGGCTAAAATACATCTTTGTTGAAAAACTTGCCACACATGATCCGTTTGAGCACCATGATGTGGTTTTCAGGACATACCCTCACTGTTTGTGGACATGCATTTTCTTTTTATGGTTGGATGTTAGATATGGGTAACTTCTTCCTTTGGGTGCTCTTCGAAGACGGGGGACAGGCAAGGGTCAGGGATAAAACAACAGCGAGAGACACATGAGAAAGAGTACGGAAAGAGGAAGAGGAAAAAACAGAGCGGGTGCAGAAGAGAGAGAAGAGAGGGAGGGAGGGTGGGAGGGAAAACAGTAGCGCCGAAGAGGCGCCCTGCGGAAAGGGAGCGAGGTGTACAAGGTGTAGGCAGAGCGGTCAGTACCTGGCAGGGCTGCCCTTTTGAAGGCTGTTTGCTTTGGTTTGATAATAAAAATTTTTTTTGTTGTCATCTTTTTCTATATAATATCTACCTTATTTAAGTTGGGAAGCCAACTTAAACATTGATTATTGGGAAACATTTTATTGTTGGGTATTGACTAACATAAAAATTCCCTAATTTTACAATAAAGTAAGTCCACACTTGACCCTTTTGTCTCTCTGTTTCCACAACTGGTAGTTCCTTTTTTCCCTGGTTCCTTTTAACATTTCTTAAGAACTCCTCATCCTTGGCTTTGCTTTTCCATACTTGGTATTTCCTACTCTGCCCTCAACAGCCTTCCTGTTAATGCAGCAGTTCTCAAACTTTTTTAATATCAGAATCCCTTCACACTCAAAAAATTATCGAAGACCTCAAAGAGCTTTTGTTTGTGTAAGTTTTATCCTTCATTATTTACTATTTTAGAAATAAAAACAGAGGAACTTTAAAAAAATTTATTATTTTAAAATAAAGAAGTTACACATTAACGTAACATTTTTATGAGAGATGGCCATATTTTCCAAAACAAAACAAAATTTAGTGAAATGGTATTGTTTTGCAAATCTCTTCAGTGCCTGGCTTAGTGGAAGACAGCTAGATTCCAATATCTGCCTCTGCGCTAAGTGTGCTGTGGTGTCACACATCATGGACTCTGGAAACGCCACTGGACGCTGTTGTGAGGATGAGGGTGAAAAGGCAAATGATGGTGATATTCTTGTGGAATCAGTGTAGACTCACGGACCCCTGGAAAGTGGGGTATCTCCGTGCTGCCTCTGCGAGCGGAGGATGGCACTGTGCTTACGGTCTGAATCCTGTCGCAGGGCCTTCTCAGGGACACAGGTCATTTCTCCCTGTGGAAGGAAGGCTCTTCCCCTTATTTCTGCTTCTTTGTTTAAGCCTTTGCTCTTTTCCTTCTTAATCATCCTTGATTCTTTTTCTTCCCTTTCCCTCTCCATTTTCCTAATCTGTACTTTTTACTTCTCATTTATTAGCTTTTCTGGGATCTAGAGCAATTCTAATCCTAAAACTTCACATTGGAAATCAAACTTTTAAAAATATTTCATTTCTCTATTTACTAGGACCTGACTGTTGGTCACATGACTTCCATTTTTGTTCATTTGGATCCTATATTTATCTTTTCTGTTATACTCTATTCTTTTTAAATTATTTTTTTCTTTTGGCATTTCAAGTACATTTTCTTACTCTGAATTGAAATTTGACAGAAACTTCATGTCTTACAAGTTGAGAAAATTTCTTTTTAACATCCATTGAAGACTTGAGTATTGTTTTTGAGGTATATCTTGACTCTCATCTTCCTTCTCTTTTCTAAGAGGAATTTTTATATTTTATCAATGAAGGTGACTTTTACCTTAAATAAAAGTTAAATGTTTGAAGTTATAAAAACAAATGCTAAGATTATTTGTTAACACAATGTTTAGTTATATTTTTAAATGTTAACAAACCAATTTTATTAAAATTTGTATAAAGCTTTCTAATAACAGTAAAATTATCCCTAAGTTTACAACTTTTATTAAACTGTGTTATGCAGAATTCTTTTAAAAGAATTTGTTATTTTGAGGGCTTTAAACATTCCTAGTAAACGTGTATATTTACTGAGCTGATGTTTATTATGGCTTTTTTTTTTTGCTTATTTGAATTCTTAAATTATTTTTTTTTCTGTCTTCACAGTCACAAACTCGCAGGACCCCAAGTCTTTCGAGTCTCAATTCTCAGGATTCCAGTATTGAAATTTCAAAGCTTACTGATAAGGTGCAGGCCGAGTATAGAGATGCCTATAGAGAATATATCGCTCAGATGTCTCAGTTAGAAGGGGGTACAGGTTCTGCAACAATTAGTGGCAGATCTTCTCCACACAGCACATATTATATGGGTCAGAGTTCATCAGGGGGCTCCATTCATTCTAATCTAGAACCAGAAAAAGGAAAGGATAGTGAACCAAAACAAGATGATGGAAGGAAGTCATTTTTAATGAAGAGGGGAGATGTTATAGATTATTCATCATCAGGGGTTTCCACTAATGATGCCTCACCCCTGGATCCTATCACTGAAGAAGATGAAAAATCGGATCAATCAGGCAGTAAGCTTCTCCCAGTCAAGAAATCCTCAGAAAGGTCCAGTCTCTTCCAGACAGATTTAAAGCTTAAGGGAAGTGGATTGCGCTATCAGAAACTTCCAAGTGATGAAGATGAATCTGGCACAGAAGAATCGGATAATACTCCACTGCTCAAAGATGATAAAGATAAAAAAGCTGAAGGGAAAGTAGAGAGAGTGTCAAAGTCTCCAGAACACAGTGCTGAGCCAATTAGAACCTTCATTAAAGCAAAAGAGTATTTATCAGATGCCCTCCTTGACAAAAAGGACTCATCCGATTCAGGAGTGAGATCCAACGAAAGTTCCCCCAATCACTCTCTTCACAATGAAGCAGCTGATGATTCCCAGCTCGAAAAGGCTAATCTCATAGAGCTTGAAGATGACAGCCACGGTGGAAAACGGGGAATGCCACATAGCTTGAGCGGCCTGCAAGATCCCATTATAGCTCGGATGTCCATTTGTTCAGAAGACAAGAAAAGCCCTTCTGAATGTAGCTTGATAGCCAGCAGCCCTGAAGAAAACTGGCCAGCATGCCAAAAAGCCTACAATCTGAATCGCACACCCAGTACTGTGACTCTAAACAACAACAGTGCTCCAGCTAATAGAGCCAATCAGAATTTCGATGAAATGGAGGGAATTAGGGAGACTTCCCAAGTCATTTTGCGGCCTGGTTCCAGTTCCAACCCAACTGCTATTCAGAATGAAAATCTAAAAAGCATGACTCATAAGCGAAGCCAACGTTCAAGTTACACACGGCTCTCAAAGGATTCTTCAGAGCTCCATGCGGTGGCCTCTTCTGATAGCACAGGCTTTGGAGAAGAAAGAGAAAGCATTCTTTAAGGAAAACAAGCAAAAGTAGAATAGTATCACTATACTCTATGACAAAATTGACCTGAGTTCTATGCACGTCACCTTCATACATTTCATTCACAAATAATTAATGGATGAGAAGGCTTTGGTAAAGAGGCATATACTGCACAACAGAGGAAAGTATAAGAAAGGATGGTTCATCAGTCAGCCTCCATTGTCTTGTAATTAGAAGCTTGAAAACTCACTATTGTTATTATACCTTTCATTGGCACTCCTCCTAAAATTTTTTGAGACAAGATCTGAGTATAAAGATAGGCCAGAAATATTAAAGATAAAGGCTTAATTTGCCACAGAAAATAAAAAGCTTAGAGACCCCCTTTGTAGAACATTCACTCATCAAATATTTGAGAGAAGACATGGTGTTAGAACGGACACAAATTTTGCTCTTGAGGGGTGAAAGATAAGAATTTACGGGTTATGGAGTAGCCCAGAGACTAAAGGTACATGCTCTGTCAGTTGAGAAACAGTGCTCCATATAATAGACAAATTGCTTATCAAAGAGTTTTTAAGTTTTAAGTAGAAAATAGATGATAAAGAGAGCTTTAAAAATTGATAAGAAAGTGAGTCGGCAGTGTCCAAACTAGAGTCCCAGTCGCTGAGCCATTGTGAGCTGCTGGAGAGTGGCCTGTGGGAGGGGCCAGTAACCTTCCTGTGACCCGGATGCTCTTCTCTCCAAATCCCAGACCTGGCGTCAGGCCCCATCCACCTGCCAAGGAACCCACTCTTGGCTACCCTGTAACTCTTGAATTGTGTGCCCAACTTTTGTTAGTGAACCTAGTACTGAGAGGGAAAAAACAGGAACTCTTTCTCCAGAGAATCAGGGAGACATGAGTAGTAATAATAGGCACTAATAAATATTTATGGAATGAGAGAATGAGGAAATAATTATATCCTGAAGGTCAGTGACAATTGACAAATGACAAGGAAATATTTAATTAGGTGAAACTAAATCATTGCTTTCTTTCGGGGGGCAGAGTTTATCTACTTCATCTGTTCCTAAATCAGCCTGTTAATTCTGGGGCACGATCATAGGAAAGGAAGTGCTTCTTTTGAAAAAAGTTAAAAAACATGTAACAAAGCAAGGGTAAAAAGAAGATAAAACTGATATGACTTTCCATTTATTGTTAGCAGAGTTGAGAGAACGATCACATTTCAGTAGTGTGTGGACTAGGAATGTACCCTGTCATCATGCATTGAAAATTGTTTGTCATTTTAACGTAGCTTACTTATGTGAATTAATTTTGGCAGTATATCCTCAGTCACAGATCAGATTGTAGATGTGTGATTACCTAAATTTAGTGTTACATTTACGATGTTTATAACTTAATGGATTTTTACTAATATGCTGAATAAATTATTTATTTGACCAGTCATTGCAATAAATAGTTGCTTTCTTGGGTTTCATTGTCTTGATGTTTGAGTGTAATCTAACGTCTTTATAAAGTGTTTATTTTGCATGACCTTAATAAATTGTTTTAACCAATTAAGAAAAAGGCAGGATGTTACAGACATTATATATTGAAATGTTAAAATTTTAGTATTTATAGTGTTTATTAGTTTGCAATATTGTAGAATTAGTAATTATTTCAGAGGCAATATTTTTTTCCTTTTCAGGTGAGTAGATACAGCTTAATATCATTGTGGTACATTCTTTATACTGTTTGTGAAGTTAATACTAGAGTATTAAGTGTACGAATAGATTTAGAAAAAAATAAAAAATTTGCATGCTATTCTGACTCATGAATTTTTATTCACTACCATGGTGATGATTCACATTTTGATTAAAAATGAGAAAGTAATGTGTGTATTTCTTTTGTCATATGTCTAAAGTTCCTTCCAGACGTTCAGGTTCATGTGGCAGTCGTGTGGCTGGCAGAAGTGTCCTGACACTAGTGTTTTTGAGACTTGGTTCTTTGGTCTCAGTGCCCGAATGTGCTTTGGTGAAGCATTAGTGCCAGACAGCTCAGCTCTGTACTGTGCATTTCTGTAGCTGCAGGAAGAAGGTTATCCAGATCCTCGGAAGATATCAATTTAATTATTGTAGGAACATTCTGGAAAAGTGTGCTTTTTCCTACTGTTACAGAAATTGAAAAACCAGATGGGTTACTGAATCACACCATCATCCCTTTGAATCTGCATGTCTCTGTGTGTGTGTGTGTATATCTATTTATAATGTATAGCTCAGTCTGATTCTCACATATGCAAAATTCTGCTTTAAGCTGGGTGAAAAATGATAGAAAAGAAAATCGGTGTTCTAATCTTGCTGGTCCCTTAGATTTTGCATCATTTAGAGTCTTACCGTATTTTATAAACCATTCTACCTTCACTTTAAGCCACAGATAGTTCTGTTCATGTAACATAGTGTTAAGCCAAATCCATTCTCCTTGGACATATAGCGTGGTACCTGTGAGGACAACCTTTCTGCAGGAGAGACTAGAAATGAAAAGCAGTTGGTATCCCTCAGTTGATACAATTTTAATAATGCTGGATGTTTAAGGATCAGCTGTGAAATTCTGAGAAATTTAAGCATTTCTAACTGAACCAACATTTTCAATATTAACAGGAAAATTTGTTTTTGTGTCATATTTTATTTGTGTGAGTTTTATATAGTGGTCAGAATAATTTTAATTGCCTAGCCAAACAATGTTAAGAACTTATTTGCTTGAGTTGAGAACTCTTTAGATAATTTGCATGTTATAGTGCTGCAGTAAAATATTTTTGTAATCATGATTTTTTTCTTACAAATACTAACCATTAGAAAATATTTTTTGAATGAAATTAAATCTTTTATTCTTCTGGCTAAAATACTAAATTTAGGAGGTTTTAAGACCACATAATTTTTGGTAATACCAGGAATTCTCAGCCTATTTAGAAGTATCCTAGAGTTTAAAAATCCCTGAATTCTGGCTAACTGTTGAGTAAGTCAACAGAACTACCAGGAAAAGAGAGAACTAGAGGGCACGGTTCCTCTTTCCTTTGCGGTGAGTGACTGTGAGGGGATACGCAGGGGAAAGGGAAGGTGCCATACAAGAAACTTCCTGGCCAACACTTGAGACTGAATGTCTAGGCTCCTGTGTCCCCCCTGCCCTCCTGGACTATGCTGGCGCTTGGCAGAAGGGAAGAAACAGCTGGGGAAACTTTTGGCGTGAGGTAGGGGTGGGGGCTATCTGAAATGATTCCTTTTTAATTTCTAGGTTGTGGTGCCCCCTACCCTTCCCTACCTCAGAATTTTAAGCATAGGCCATAATTATGCAAATGAATTGAAAAATAGAAAGAAATTTTTATATAACAGTGAGCCAGCAACTTGGATGGTCTTTTAATGGCTCATCACTTCAGAAAGGTTGAGAATCCTTGGTTGAGACTGATTGACTAGAAAGAGAATTTAAAATCTTACATGATTTTAAACCCTTTCATGCCTAGGAGGAAAACGCTGTCCTTCAGATAGATAGCTCTTCAGAGGATCCAGTTTAAACGGAGGTACGTAAAAAAGTAGTCTTCAAAGCCAAGTAGTTTTAAGTCAGCTGTTGAAAAACACTTCTCACCAATTAGAGAATTTATATTCTCATCACTTTAAGAAATAGAGCTAGGTAAGAAACATCTAAAATTGTAAGAAATTAAACACTGTCACCTACATGGTCAAAGCTTTTCAAGTAAAATTGCTAGTAAGCAGAGCCTTGGCGAGCGCCATGGTGAGTCAGCGCGCCCAGGCCTGTGTGGTGGGTGGAGGGTTTCAGAACCAGGGCTTCTCGGCCCTCAGAGCAGCAAGACTTACCGACGGGCCTAGGTGGGGCTGCAGGATGAGCTGTCTCCTGAAGCTCCAGGTCCAGGGAGGCATTAAGAAAATACAGGAATAAAAGGGTCAGTCGGAGGAAAAGCAATTGTTTCCAAACTGTTAGTAGGATGACTCTCTACAAGTCAATAAAAGTGTCAGTGATTTTGACCTAAGTGAGGACCAAAATTGGCAAAAACATGAATTACATAATATTGTATAATAAAGGCAGCATTATTATTTTAACGCACACAAAATATTCTGAGTCTGCCTATGGAGTATAATCAGCAGTCATTTGTTTACAAAGCATACACTATGTTCTGGATTTTCTGAGGCTAAATAAGCCTTTTGTATTGTTATTTACACTAGTGATATATATTAGGAGCCGTTTCTTAGTTTTGCCAGGATTTAACAAGACACAAAATAATATATCAAACTGAATTAGTAGAACTTCAATAAATGAAATTTTAAAAAGAATGCAGAATTACGTGACCCATGCTACTCAAATTAAGAAGCTGTTTGAAATAATTAAGAGCATCCTGGTGACCCACGCTCATTTTCTAATTTTAACATGTATTTTATACTTACTCACCTCTTTCTTTCAAGGCCACGAGGGCCCTAGCTCTTAGTGCCTGCCTGTAGACCGCTCCTCCTGACAGTTCGGTTAACTTCTCGCAGTTGGCTTCCTCAGCAAACGTAAGGGGTACAGAAGATACTGCCTCCCGTGCAGGAAGCCTGCTGTCCAGTCGCTGGAGAAGAGAGATCTGTGCACCTCTGCCAGTTTTCTTTGTTTTTAGCAGAATTTGAATTAGTTTTAATGAAGTGTTCCTTTTATGAAATAGCCAGATGTATAGCAAAAAAGTATGTAAATAGAGTATACATAACCTGACATGTCATATCTTACACCATCTTCTTGGTCAAATGTCTAATGAAAAGTTAGGTGGTGGTTTTCAAAATTATCATACTTCCTGACACTTTTTAAGCTGTGTTTCTGAGAATTTATAGACTGCATGTTATATTTAGTGCAAATTAAACTTTTTATTTTTAAAGAAATTATTTTCTTTTTGAGTTCTTTGTGTTTTTCTTCCTCTTTTACCTGAGTTCTTTTCACTCTTTTTGTGTCTTAGTTTTTTTTTTAGGTTGTCATGTATTCATCCTATTTTACCATAAAGCATTCCTTAGAGCAGTAGAATGGGAAAGAACTTCCAGACAGCTTCTAGACCAAATCCTGGATTTCAGATAGCCGGTGGACATTCGGTCAATACTTGTTAAGTGAGTGAATAAAGTCTGCCTAACCTAGGAGAGTCTGCCCACAAATCCTACACTGTGTCTTAAAAATATTGAATTTGAATGCCTAAAATTGTGCATTTTGCTGTGGTTTCTTACAGGCCCGCTCCTTCCCACCACTTTATACCCACCCTGTTACCTGTCTGGCCCCTATAAGCTTTTCTGTTCACAGAGATTCACTCTGGGAACCTTTCAGGACATGATATGCTCTGTTAGAAACTCGCAGGGAAGGAGTCCACGGCCGTCTCGACAAGCGCCGTTGAAAGTGCTAGGCTATATTTTAAAATCCTCTTGTGTGCTGGGGGTCCTTTGTTTATTCCTTTGTGGAGCTGTCCATGTTATAAGTTAATATAATTGTATCAAATTAAAATGGCACAACTCTACATTTTACTTTAGGATGTTGAAAATATTTTCAGGTATAACTTAGCTAGGGTGAGCATGTTTTCTCTGAGCCCAGATTGGGGTACGTCATTATTGTGGGGATATTTAATATGAGGATCATCCAGAAAATCTGATATGGAGGTTTATCTTATCTGTAGCTCAGCTTTTCAGCATTTAGTAGGATTAGTTATTATTTTCATTGACCACCTCTCAGTGCTTTCTCATTCCCTATCTCAGGTTGACCACTCTGATGGGTTTGAACTAGAATAAGCATGTTATACTGGGATTCTATATTGAATATTTTATATATGAGTGGGCCATTATGTGTTGATTGAAAATTTCTTAATAAGATAGGCTAACCACTGGAACAATAAACCCCAGACCTCATTGACTTAATATATTTTAAGTTTATTTCTTGTTCCTGTAATGGTCCAATGTCACCTAAGTTGACATAAAGATTCAGGGACCCAGTTTCCTTCATCTTGTGGTTCCCCCAGCCTCCAAGTCTTCAGAGTCCTCTGCCCCATCTCCTGCATGGTGTGATGTGTGGGAGAGGCACGAGGGTGGAGGGCCACACGGGAAGTTTGCATTGTGCAGACCTGGAAGTGGTGTATCCCCATCCCATTGGCCTTCAGTCATGTGGTCAGGCTGAGCTGCAAGGGAGGCTGGGAACTTAGGTGACCTGAGGAAGAGCAAACATTTTGATGAGCACTGGAGGGACGTTTTCCACTTAGACACTTGGCGTGGATTATCCATGGCCAATGAAACACTGATTTAGCTTGTTTTCAATTTTATCAGCAGTCAGTTCTTTTTATTGACATCTCTTTTAAATTTTACCTGTATGCAGTTTTCATTCTGGTAGGGAAGTCTGTTAAAATCATAACATCTAACCTAGAAGAAGGATTTTTGTAGAGGGTAGCTTTCAATTAGCCAGTTCTTTCCATGCATCTGAGAAACTAACAAATTTCTAATGTGGAGCAGATCACAGAGAGAATTAAGCAAGATTAAGAATGGGGAAGAAGGTTTCACTACTTCTCTAGAATCCTTTTATATCCAAAGACTCTCAGACTGTCTAGAATCTGCCTGGTTTGGGGGTTTGGTTATAAATATTTATAATATAGACTCTCTGTTGCTATCCATTCTTTAAAGTGTCTTCCTCCTGGAACAGTGGTGACAGTGACTCTCGATTGCTTCTCCTTGTACCTGGCAGATGTGGAGGACCTTGTCCTGCGAGGCTCCTGCCTCCAGTGTGGGGATCGGTAGTTAACGAGAAGCTAAAGTGCCGTTAGTGAC